CGCCACACACACTTCAAGACGGCTGATCTAAAAAAGCAGGAAGAGAGCATCTGAGGAGCAGCAGCCCCAGCGCGTTTTGAAAAACATTTGTTACGTTTCAGAGTGCGGCAGCCTGTTTCTCCTCTGAAGTTGGCTCCAGCCTTAGCAGCCGCATTGGATCCCACAGCCTATTGCGAGACTCCGGTATACAACCCGGATCTCTGCCCCAACATGATCGCGGCCCAGGCCAAGCTGGTCTATCATCTGAATAAATACTACAACGAGAAATGCCAAGCCAGGAAAGCTGCCATCGCCAAAACGATCCGAGAAGTCTGCAAAGTGGTGTCGGACGTGCTGAAGGAGGTGGAGGTGCAGGAGCCTCGCTTCATCAGCTCCTTGAACGAGATGGACAACCGCTACGAGGGGCTGGAAGTCATCTCCCCCACGGAGTTTGAAGTCGTGCTGTATCTGAACCAAATGGGGGTTTTCAACTTCGTGGACGACGGCTCCTTGCCGGGCTGCGCTGTGTTAAAGTTAAGCGACGGGCGCAAGAGGAGCATGTCCCTCTGGGTGGAGTTCATCACGGCGTCTGGCTACCTCTCCGCTCGCAAAATCCGGTCCAGATTTCAGACTCTGGTGGCTCAAGCCGTGGATAAGTGCAGTTACAGAGACGTGGTAAAGATGGTGGCGGACACCAGCGAAGTGAAGCTGCGGATCAGGGATCGGTACGTCGTGCAGATCACTCCGGCGTTCAAATGCACGGGGATCTGGCCGCGGAGTGCTGCCCACTGGCCGCTTCCCCACATCCCCTGGCCGGGACCCAACAGGGTGGCGGAGGTCAAGGCGGAAGGCTTCAACCTCTTATCCAAGGAGTGCCACTCTCTGGCCGGCAAGCAGAGCTCGGCCGAGAGCGATGCCTGGGTGCTGCAGTTCGCGGAAGCCGAGAACAGACTGCAGATGGGCGGCTGCAGGAAGAAATGCCTCTCCATCCTCAAAACCTTACGGGACCGTCACCTGGAGCTGCCGGGCCAGCCCCTGAATAATTATCACATGAAGACTCTGGTTTCCTACGAGTGCGAAAAGCATCCCCGCGAATCGGACTGGGACGAGTCGTGCCTGGGGGACCGGCTCAACGGGATTTTACTGCAGCTCATCTCCTGCCTCCAGTGCAGGAGGTGCCCGCATTACTTCTTGCCCAATTTAGACCTCTTTCAGGGCAAACCTCACTCGGCCCTGGAAAATGCGGCCAAACAAACGTGGCGACTGGCTAGGGAAATACTTACCAACCCGAAAAGTTTGGAGAAACTTTAGAGGGTAACTATAAAACTGGCCTGACCGATAAATCTGCTTGTTTCCCCATGAAGCCTAGACTGCCTGTTCGAAAAGTCAAATGTTTCCACTTGACAATGCAAATAATATTCCCTTTTAAAAAAAAGGAATATAGCTTAGGCTCTTCACAAAGAAAAGCAAATAAGAACAGCAAGCATCGTTCCACTTCATCACAGTTTTGCAGTTTCCCGTGAAAAAAGAAAAAGGAGGAAAAAAACAAACAAACAAAAAGAGAAAAAAAAAAAAAGAAAAAAAAAAAAAAGAAAAAAGCAAGAGAGGAAAGTATGTTACCTGGAAAGAAAAATTGGCCGTAATTTAACACGATTGTGACCGTTCTGCTTAGAAACGGTACCAACGGATTATAACAAAACCTGGTATTTTTATGTAAACCCTCTGTGAGTAAAAGCTATTTGGATATGCCACCTGAACAAACCCTAATGTACCTTTTAATTTGTATCAAATATTGTGATCTCACATTGTCTTTGAAATTGTGGATGTTGGTGTTTTGTGATTTGGTGAACAGAAGTTAAATTGCCATTTTGGATACTTCAAGGACATTTTCTGCTAAAGAGAAGATACCATTTAAAAAGGTAGATTTTATCATGGTACTTTTGTTAATTGTCTTTTGAAGTGTCTGAACTTAACAAGTTTACAATTTTCGTTTCATATATATTGCTTGTTCTATTTCTAACATTCCATAAATATACTTGAAATGTTATTTAAATATATTCAAAAGAAATTTGGATTCTGCTTATATAATAACGCTTGAATATTGGAATTATATATTTGAAAATGCACTTGAAATACACTGGATAATTACCTTTTGTGATTTAGATTTTAATTTCTGTTGCTGATTTATTTAATTACAAGCTAATAAATGAAGTAAAATGCATATGGGTAAGCGTTTCAATCCTGGATCAAGTTTTCTACTTGAAAAAACAGAGGCAGCTGTGTTTTGTGAATTTTGCCTTTCTGTGGATACTTACTTAAATCCTACAAAGCACAAAACTTAAGGGCAGCCGCCTGATTTTGCATTTCGAATAGTTTTGTAGAGCAGGGAAATATCGGTGGTGCAAACACATTGGAATTTAGCTGCAGATGACCGGCAGCGACTGTCAGACACCGATGTAGTTATCCATACAGTGACACTTTTTCAGCCGTCAGAAAACTATTTTCGAGAGGTTTACTACACGGCGCTGATGTGTTTCTGCTCGATTTTGAACAAAGCTGAGGAAACACATCGTATCCCTGAAGCAATCTGTGTACTGAGTAGAGCAGCGAGCCTGCTAAAAGTAGCGTTTTGGCGCAAGTAGTAATAAAGAAGAAAATAAAATTTATAGGTGAAAGGTTCAAGCCGGCACCAATAAAGTGAACAACAATATTACTTCTGACCTACAAATCCGTTTTGAATGTGATAAGATTGTCAGTTGCACTCCCAGAAATCAAGCCCCCTGCGCTCCCAGGGCGTTCAGAGGCAATAACATGTGCTTGCCTACAAAACTACAAGCGATCCAAAATTTCCTATCCGTCCTGCAGCGCCTGGTTTTTCTAAGTACGCGTTTCTTTAACGGGGCTTTAAAATCCAAAAGCAAAATAACAAGGCGGATCCTGTTCGGTACCCTAACAGTCAACAAGTGCTGAAAGAGGCTGATCGGCTGCTTAACACCCACTAGCAACTATTTCCAGCGGGTGCACTTTAACGAAACCGTTATACCCAGCGATTCTCACAGAATCTCTTTTCTTTTCCAGCACGGCGAAGAAAGTTCCGAGTTTGAGAAATTATTCGTCAAAGAAAAATCACCTTACTACAAACATATTCAGATGAGGTCGCTAGCATTTGCCTGGAAATTATTTGATATTTCTGCAGAAAAGAAACAAACCCCAAGGTCTCTGCAAAAGTACCTCCCCCATTTTCTCTCTTCTAACATTTTCCAGCGCAATAACAAAGAAATAAAGCAACAGCGATAAGAATAAAAAGAGATGCAGGCGAGAGGAGCGCCCTGTGACACACGTCCCTTCCGCACGCCCCCTCCTCCCCCCGTGGCA